CTACAACAGGCAGTTGCTGTCCATTTGAAACTTATATTCATTATGAATAGCTATCATTAATAAATCCACCTACCTACATAGGTCAGAACTAGATATTAATTCAGTAATAAATATAGAATAATATTATACGTTTTCTTACTTATAACGATTATAAGTATTGAGTTACCAGCTACCTACCCAGTTGTATACAAAACTGTTATCATCAGATCTTTCTGTTTTAGACGGGATCCAGTAATTAATGCACCTTTGGTTCATAAATCCAATAATTTATTTCTACAGTTTTAAAATCTTTATACTTATCATTTGAAACAACAGCCTAAACCAGCATTATCTTTATATGAAAAATATTAATTACATATATTTATAAACTTTTCATTCTCAATCTAAAACTCAAGATAATAACCTGCTCTATACAAAATATCTTCTAAAGACAGCAGGGTGCAGTATTTTTGAGAAATTCATTTCATTTGAATTTAATAAATTAGAAAACAAGTTTACTTGAGCGCTAACAATTCAAAAAATAGTAGTAAGTGACTATATGGTTAAACGAAAGAAGTCTTGTCACAACCACCTTTTTTAAAGTGTAATAATGGATTTTTCAAATTTACGGTCTTTATTTCAGTATAATAATCGTTATATTTTACATATGTTTAATAGATTTCTGAGAGTAGATTTTAAAATACTTACTAAACAAGTTTCCTCAAACACATGCACATTTCTCGTTATTTCTGTATTACCATGTGGAAAATTCTTAAAGACTGAGAACAACAGTGAAAGTTTTACCCTTGTAAAAGTGATCAGGAGAATGATGAAACCGGCCGACTGAAAGTAATTACAGGAAATTATAATTAAAACAAGTGGCCATGAATAGTGTTCCTATAAAAAACGCTATTACACAGATAGACGGAGTCATTCAAAAGTAAAAGTAGAACATTTTAATTATTACCCTACGATAATGGATTAGAATTGCAATTTTCAAATTTTAAGGCCTCTTTTCCGCACGTGGGCTAAAGGATCCAGGTCTGAGACCCGTATGATCCACACAGCAGAACCCTCCACTAAAAAGGCTTTGTCTATTTGTTTTCAACCAAATGATGGAATTGACTGTCAGTTATATTATACAGCTGAAACTGCGTAGCGTAGTACTTATATCAGTCTTGAAAAGAACTACTAGATATACTTCCGCAGGGTTCCCGACAGAGTTCTGTTTCAAGAGTGAATAAAACCAAAATTAATAGTAACAAATATTTCTTGCTTTAGATGCTCATATTTCATGTTGTGTTGTAGCTTAAAGAGTGCATAATTCTTCTCGTGATTCATGGTATGCGCACGTTTGACAGACGTCCATACAGTACAAATAGCAATGTTAAGTGTCCCGTATGTGGCGTCTACTAACTGACTAACAGACAACATATACTACTGTATTGTAGTGCGAGTCCTCTTTAGGAGAAATAAAAGAAACTGGACATAATTCGCCTGTTTCAACACTTCATTTTATTATATGCTTACTGGTATATATGAATGTGCAGATTTCTAGGTAATGTAAGACAGATACCATCAAAGTTCTTCGTTTAAAATGCGAGAACAAAGCTCAGATTTGCTTAGAATATCCGCTAATTTATTTTCAATTTTAACGATCAGAGCTTAACGAGGGTTCTTCTCAGTTAAGAAAAAAATATTTTTACATTAGAATCTAATCAGCTGCAAAGAAATATTTAATTTTCACACCGCCTTTAATCTATAGATATATGAAAGGAATCTAGAGTAGGAACTATTAAATTATGAAGACATTAACTAAACCTTTCTTTACATAAATATTCTATCTGGCATATATATATATTAATAAAATTTAATGAAATAGGAGACTTGTATATGTGTAATTCATAAATAATTTCAAACCCCGAACAACTAAATTCCACTGAAAACAAGTGTTATAAGATATTAAGCTTGGTGTTTTCATTAAGTTAGTTAGCTCCAAATAATTTAATTTTTTGTCACAGTATTTTTATTTCAGTCTTTACTCACTCATTCCTTGGGATCAGCACGGTAAATGGAGAAAACCAGCGTAGACGC